AGCTAGAAATTCAAGCCAGATTCAGAAGAAGGCATGGAATCAGGATGTTATTGCTGATGTCAAATGGATCTTGGCTAAAGGCATAGAATACCAGAAAGATGCTTACCTGTATTTTATTGACTGTGTAAAGGCATTTGACTGTGTGAATTGTGACAGGTTATGGATAACATTGCAAAGAATAGGAACTCCAGAACATTTAATTTTGCTCATGAGGAACCTGTACATAGACCAAGAGACAGTTATTCAAACAGAACAAAGAGACACTGTGGTTTAAAATCAGGAAAGGTGTTTGTCATGATTGTATGCTTTCACCATACTTACTCAATATGTATACTGGCCAAATCATCTGAGAAGCTGTACTCTATGAAGAACATGGCATCAGTATTGGAGGAAGACTCATTAAAAAGTGATATGCAAATGACACAATATTCTTGCTGAATGCAAAGAGGACTTATTAATGCAGATCAGTGAGCACAGTCTTCAGGATGTATTACACCTCAACATAAAGAAAACAAAAATCCTTACAACTGAACCAGTAAGCAACATCATGATAAATGGAGAAAATAATGAAGTTGTCAAGGATTTCATTTTACTAGAAGCTCTGGTAGTGTAGTACCTCAGGCATTTGACTGCTAACCACTAGGCTGTGGTTCAAACCCACCAGCCACTCCTCAGAAGGAAGATTGGGCAATCTATTTCTGTAGTGATACTGCCTCAAAACCCAAGGAGGGGTCACTGTGAGTCAGGTCCGACTCGATGACACATAACAACAACAGTATGCACAATCAATGACCATGGAAGTGGCAGTCAAGAAATCAAACAACATTGTACATTGGGCAGATAGATGTTCTGTAAAAGACCTCTTTAATGTGTTAAAAACAAAGGATGTTCACTTTGAGCACTGAAGTGCACCTGACCCAAACCATTGTATTTTCAATTACCTCATATGCATAGGAAAGCTGGGCAATGAATAAGGAAGACTGAAATGATGCATTTGAATTGTGGTGTTCATGCAGAATATTGAATATACCATAGACTACCCAAAGAATGAACAAATCTGTCTTGAAAGAAGTACAGCCGAAATGCACCATAGATGTGAAGATGGCGAGACTTTATCTCATGTACTTTGGACATACTGTCAAGAGGGGCCGTTTCCTGGAGGACAGCATTTTCAGTAAGGTAGAAGGTTAACAAAGAAGAGGAAAACCCTCAATAAGATGAATTGACAAGTGGCTGCAATGATAAGCTCAAACATAGCAACAGTTCTAAGAATGGCACAGGACTGGGCAGTATTTCATTTTTGGTAAATATGGTTGCTATGAGTTGGAACTCTGAAACTTGCTCTTGAACAGAGAGTAGCTAAAGCAAATGGAAAAAGTGATGAAATAAAAGAGGTGAACAGAAGATTTCAAAGGCCAGCTCTAGAAAACAAAGTCAAATGTAATGAAATGTGCAAAGACCAGGAATTAGAAAACCAAAAGGGAAGAACATTCTCAACATTTCTCAAGCTGAAAGAGCTGAAGACAAAATTCGATCCTTGAAGTACAATGTTGAAAGATTCTATGGGCAAAATACTGAACAATGCAGGAATCATCAAAAGAAGATGGAAGGAATACACGGTGTACCAAAAAGAACTGGTCAATGTTCAACCATTTCAGGAGGTAGCATACGATCAAGATCCAATGGTATTGAAGGAAAAAAGTCCAAGTTGCACTGAAGGAACTGGCTTAAAACAAGCTACAGCAATTGTCAGAATACCCATTTAGATGTTTCAACAAACATGCAGTGCTGGAGGCATTTATTTATGCAAGAAATTTGGAAGACAGCTGTCTGGCCAACTGACTAGAGAGATCTATATTTGTGCCCATTCCAAAGGTAATCCAAAGGAATGTGGAAATTATCAAACAGTATCATTAATATCACATGCAAGTAAAATTTCGCTGAAGGTAATTCAAAAATGGTTGCAGCGGTGTATTGACAGGGAACTTACAGAAATGCAAGCTGGATTCAGAAGAGGATGTGGAACTAGGGATATCATTGCTGATGTCAGATATGTCTTAGCTGAAAGCAAAGAATACCAGAAAGATGTCTACCTGTGTTATACTGACTATGCAAAGGCATTTGACTATAAGGATCATAACAAACTATGGATAATATTGTGAAAAATGGGCATTCCAGAACACTTAATTGTGTTAATGAGGAACCTGTACATAGACTAAGAGGCTGTCATTAAAACAGAACAAGGAATACTGCATGGTTTAAAATTGGGAAGTGTGCACACCAGGGTTGTATTCTTTCACCATGCTTACTCAATCTGTGTACTGAGCAAATAATCAGAGAAGCTGGACTGTATGAAGAATGTGGCATCAGGATTGCAGGATGCCTCATTAATAAACCATGATAATGCAGATGACACAACCTTGCCTCCTGAAAGTGAAGATGACTTGAAGCACTTACTGATGAAGATTAACGACTACAGTCTGCAATATGGATACACCTCAACATAAAGGGAAAAAAAAAAAAAAACCCTCACAGCTAGACCAATAAGCAATGTCATGATAAAGGGGGAAAAGATTGAAGTTGTCAATGATTTCATATTACTTAGTTCCAAAATCAACACCCATGGAAGCAGCAGTCAGGAAATCAGCTGTCATTTGCAGTGGGCAAATCCGCTGTCAAAGACTTCTTTAAAGTGGTAAGGAACAAAGATCCCACTTTGAAGACTAAGGTGTGCCTAATCCAACCGTAGGAGCTCTGGTAGCATAGTGCCTAAGACACTTGACTGCTAACCAGAAGGCTGGCAGTTCAAACCCACCAGCCACTCCTCAGAAGGAAGGTTGGGCAATCAATCTACTTCCGTAGTGGTACCACCTTTGGAAACCCAAGGAGGGGTCACTATGAGTTGTGTCTGACTCAATAGCAAATAATAACAACAACCCAAGCTATGGTATTTTCAATCGCCTCATATGCACGTGAAGTTGGACAGTGAATAAGGAAGGTCAAAGAAGAACTGATGCTTTTAAATTGTGGTGTTGGCAAAGAATATTGAAAATACTACGGACTGCCAGAAAAACAAACAAATCTGCCCTAGAAGTGCAGCCAAGAAGTGAGAATGGCCAGACTTTGTGTCACCTGTATTGGTCATGTTGTCAGAAGGGACCATTCCCTGCGGAAGGTATCATGGTTTGTAAGTGAAGGGTCAGAGAAAAGGGAAGGCCCTCAACAAGGTGGATTGACACAATCACTACAGTGGGGGGCTCAAGCATAGCAAGAATTGTGAGGATGGTGCAAGACTGGACAGTGTTTCATTCTGTTATATACAGGTTCACTATCACTGTGAGTTGGAATCAGCTTGATGGCACCTAACAACAATATGAGTTGGAACTAATTAGATGGCACCTAACAATAACAACAGGGAACATGCTCTCAGAGCTACTTCACTGATCTCAAAATCATATTGACAACAAAAGGGAATATTACCATTAACCTTCTATATAATGAAAGAGTCATGGTGGTGGAATGGTTAGGTACTTGGCTACTAACTGAAAGGTTATAATTTGAACCCTCCAGCAGCTTCACAGGAAAAAGACCTGATGAGCTGCTCCTGTAAAGATTACAGCCAAGAGTACTCATTGGGCAGTTCTATTCTGTCACATGGAGTCGCTATGAATCCGAATCGACTCAACGACACCTGACAACAGCCACGTAATAAGCACTATTTCAGCATCCATTATTTTATTTCATCTCTACATTTCACAATTTGATATTCTTGCCTCCTTACCTATGAGGAGTGGAACTCTCGTGGTACAGTTGTTAATGCATTCCACTGTTAACCAAAAGATTGGTGGTTTGAACCCAGTAGTTGCTCTGTAGGAGAAAGATAAGGCAGTCTGCTTCCATAATGATTTACAGCCTTAGAACTCCTATGGGGGCAATTGCACTGTGTCCTATGGGGTGGCTGTGAGTTGGAATTGACCCAAAGGCAGTGTTTTTTTTCTTTTTTTTTTTTTTTCCTATGAGAGCTTGAGAGCTCTGGTGGCATAGTGCCCAAGGCATGTGACTGCTAACCAGAAGGCTGGCAGTTCAAACCCACCACCGACTCCTCAGAAGGAAGGTTGGGCAATCTACTTCTGTAGTGATACCACCTCGGAAACACAAGGAGGGGTCGCTATGAGTCGGGTCCAGTTCAACAGCAAATAACAACACCACCTATGAGAAAGTAGGCGCAGAACTTCAGTAAATTGTCTAAATTTGTACAGTTACTAGGTGGGAGTAGCAACATTTGAATTTGGGGCTGTTTGACTCCTCCCCACCATGTTGTCTTACTCTTTGGAGAGAATATGTAGTAGGCAAGAGGCTCTCTGCATATGTGCCTCTTCTCACCTCCATATGATTTCTTCCCTCAGTCTGTTGTTTAATATGATGTTTGTGAATGGATCTGGCACATGTTGGGCACATAGTGAATGGATGCTTCAAAATATAGTTGACATGGTGCTTTGATAGTGATACTTTGCAGGCTCAGAAGACTGCAAATCTGGGAGTTCTAGCTGCTGCTGCTTTATTGTCAAGTGAACCTGTTTTCCCTCTTAAATTAGTTCTAATTTGGCTTTCTTTCATCCTTGAACATCTATCTTCACCCTGACCCAGAGGTCAGGGAGGTGCACATCTGAACTGGTGTCTATGAGCTTTCTATGGTTTAAGTGAATTAGTAGGAAACATGATTTTAAAAACGTGTTCATATTATGAATGATATTTTCAGGAATTGGGTGAAGGTAGCAAGGAAAAACACCTGGTCAGAAATGTTTTTCTTGTTAATGAAATTTAAAGAATTCTCTGACAGTCTTAGACACTGCAGTACAAAGCAGCAAGAAGAAGAGTGTTCGCATTTGGTCAGTAACTGGAATGTGCCAGTACTAGCCACAGTTGGTCTTGGTTAGAGATTATTATAAAGCAAGCCACTGGACCTTACTTACAAGGTACCTCCCCCTCCTTCATTCCAGGTTTATCTTGATGTACGCCACAGTACTCTGCACTCAGTATAATTCTGCTCTCACAACTACAATAGTTGGCTGTATTAAGGTGAGTTAAAAAAATTGTGTGTATATGTGTGTGTATCTGGTTTATTTGAAAATTATTTCTCTAAAGTAAGAATCTGGCTTTGTTATTAAGCCTCCTATTCCTTATTTCCTTGTCTGATGTCTTGATAGTTGGATAAATTGTGGTGCTAGTTTCTGAGACAATCTTTAAGAACTTGGAGGAGTGCAGTCTCTACTTTCAGGCAATTCTACTCTGAGGAGTGTGGGGAAAGGAGAATGTGTTTTCTCAGAGTAGAGGAAGAGTGAAGATTAGGCCTATATCTGACAGGCCAATGAATAGTTTCATAGTGATAGGCCCGTCCCTTTAACCCCCAGCAAGACATGTTCTGTTCTCTTCCTCACTGAATTCTGGCTGTTTTGTGGGGAAAGGATGCTTGCCAGAAGCAATCAAGTGAGTTTTTCCTATGCTTGCGCCAAACCTTAAATTGCCCATTTTTAAAAGCTGTGTGTACATTCCCAGTGACGTCATTTCCTCTTGATCAATTTCATTTGAGGGGGCCTCATTTAGTCTCCAGCCAGGAGAGCCAAGTCAATATTGAGCTGAAGTTAGTGCCTTGAAATCTGTGGCCTTTTCCATCGGACTTTGTGATTCTAATACTTTAAGATCCAAGAGGCCACAGCATGCTTTAGTTCCAAATAAATCAGCAAAGTAGCTTTGCTTTCTAAAGGCAAGAGAGAGAGTAGGTCTTTGATCATTTTGGGGAAAAGGGTGCAGTTGCTCCTGTGATATCCCTTCTAATACCCTATAAGTCAGTAGTGAGGGTAGGGGATCTCTGGGGACATCTAGGTCAATTGTCATAACATAGTCCATAAAGATAATGTTATACATCCTAAGGAGCTCTGGTAGCATAGTGCCTAAGGCACTTGACTGCTAACCAGAAGGCTGGCGGTTCAAACCC